ATTTGTCCTTGTCTTTGATACAAGCGTACTGTACTAGTGCGGAACAGACGGGGTCAACCAAAATGATTGTGTCGTGTTTTTTTTTTTGAACTTCCCTGTTTTTGTGCTGAACACTTGACATTTTTGTTTGTTTGTTTTAAAAGATGCCGCGCTGGAAAGCAGCGAGTGCGCAGTTCTTTCTTCCCGCCGCGATCCCCTCACCACTTCTGACACCCTTCAAGCGGAGAGGTCGGGCGTCTGTGGGAACTTAAGGACTGCCGTTTCGCGACTTCAAAACGAACCCGGTCATCGGAAAACGTCTTTTGGGCCTATTTGTTTGTGGGTGCTCGAGGAATGTGCTCTGAAGTGAGGGACATAGGGCGCAGTGAGTGGAGGTGTGATTTCCCATTCTGCTGCTCCTTCACCCTCGGTAGGAATAGGAGGACAAGGCGTCCGCCAGACGCTAACGCGGCATATGCATTTTTGTGTGGTAGTTAGTCCTTATGTGCTGAGTTGGGTCTTTTTTTTTTCTTGACACTGTTGACCTAATCCACTTCATAATAGGCTTTGCTAACCCCCGCCCTCCCCGCCCCCCTTTTTTTTGTTTTTGTTATTTTTCCTTTTCTTCTTGCTCATCTACTACTATGACGTTGTGGATGCCAATTTGTACTTTACCCCTTTCATTCCCTCTTTACCAGCTGTTTTTATTTATTTATTTATTTACTTGCTCACTCGGCCTCCCTCTCTCTCACCCGTTGCTTGTGAGCGTAGTTGTCAAGAGATCACGCGGTACTAGCAGACTATTGTTGGGGGAATTACATGGCGAGCTACTCAGACGAGCGAATTAGGGCCACCATTTCGGAGCTGAAGCCAAAGTTTCTGAAGGCTTTTAATGTCGCCTCTGAAGGCGATGTGGAGTGGCTCCTTTTCACCTTCGCTCCGGGTCGTGTGAACTTCTTTGGTGAACATGTCGACTACATGGGCGGGTATGTGTGTCCCGCCGCCCTCACGGAGGGCTGCCACATTCTCGTTGGGCGTGTTCGACACCTCCGTGACGGAAAGTTGCGCTTTGCGACTGCCGAAGGTGCACACTTCGCCCTTGATCGCCTTGGTCAGGCAACCCACGACAAAACGTGGACGACCTTCATTCGCGGTGCGGCAACATTGTCGCTGAACCACATTGGCATGCCAATCGATGCTCCGGAGCTGCAGGGCTTCTGCGCCATCTCGAAGGGAACCTTGACGATGGGCTCCGGCATGAGTGCCTCTGCCTCCTTTGGCGTGGCCCTTTTGAACGCTATCACGACTGTGGCAACGCGACGATACCGCAGCATGCGTTACGTGCCTGGGTCTCCGTTTCCTATCCTTCCTCCTCGCGGCAGGGAAGAAAGGATTACCCTAACTAAACAGGCTCACCGCATTGAGACCGAATTCTGCGGTGTTAACGTGGGAATCATGGATCAGTTCGCGTCTATTCATGCGACGCGAGGTTCATTCATGTCTTTGGACTGCGACTCCCTAACATTTGATTCGCACTCATTGTCTTACCTTCTTGGAGACTCCGCCTGCTTCCTGTTGATAAATTCCATGGTTCGGCATGAGCTGACGGGCGCGACAGCCGGTGGATACAACACACTGCGCACCGACGCTGAAGGTGCGCAGGAGATCGTAAAGAGGCGTAAGTTGAATGGTGCGGCATTTTCTTTCCGCGAGCTGGCCAGAAACCCCAAAAAATTCACACAAGGAGACCCAGTGGCCTTTGTGGAGACTTGCAGACCCTACTTTACCCCTGGACAATACGACCGTGGCATCTTCAACATTGCCGAGCAGCTCCGCACCATTGAGTTTATAGAGCTATGCAAACCTGAATGCCCGTTGAGCCAGGAGGCGAGATTCCAAAGGGCGGGTGAGCTGCTGAATGAAACTCATGCAGGACAGCGTGATCTCCTGAAGATATCTACCGATGAATTGAATTTTATTCAAGAGGCCATTAATCGCGAAGATGGCGTGAGTGGTGGAAGATTGATGGGTGGCGGCTTCGGTGGATGCATTCTCCTTCTTCTTAAAAGGGATGCGGTGGAAAGTGTGGTGAAAAAGGTGCAACAGGGCTTTAAGGCCAAATTCGGCGTTGTCTGCGAGGTGTACCCCGTGGTTCTTGGAGACGGTGCCTTTATTGCCTCCCTCTGGAAGGGTGCGCGGGGAAAACTGTAAGCTCCGCTTGAAGAAATGCGGCTCTTCCCAGCGTCTTTCATTCGGAAAAAGTTCGTCAGGGGCCACCAACATTCTTCGAGACAACGACAGTAAAAAGGGGAGGGGGGAAAAAAAGTGGCAAACCGTCTTTCGACATTTTTCCCCCTTTTTATTGTTATTGCTTTGGGCATTTTTTTCTACTTGCCTTCGTCCCTGACATTGGGTAGAGATGAACAGCGAAAGCTAATCTCATGGGACGTGCGTGCGTGCGATCCTGATCGGGCGGGGCAAAAACCGCGTTGAAGTTGGAATATGTTATTTTTTTTTATTTGCCTTGTCTTTGATACAAGCGTACTGTACTAGTGCGGGAACAGACGGGGTCAACCAAAAATGATTGTGCGTGTTTTTTTTTTTTGTAACTTCCCTGTTTTTGTGCTGAACACTTGACATTTTTGTTTGTTTGTTTTAAAAGATGCCGCGCTGGAAAGCAGCGAGTGCGCAGTTCTTTCTTCCCGCCGCGATCCCCTCACCACTTCTGACACCCTTCAAGCGGAGAGGTCGGGCGTCTGTGGGAACTTAAGGA